GCCTTCGCTCGGCCTCTCAACAGCGTCCCCAGGACCACCGCCTTCACCGCCTGCTCCTTGACACTCACCAATTCATCAACGGCCTCGAAGTCACGTAAGAAGCTCCGTATGTCTCCTTCTTCAAATGCAGTTGGCCATAGGATCTTCATTTTTCGGAGGCAACGACACCGATGGTAATAACAGAAGACAGGGGCCAGGCCACCGATCGTTTATTAAGGAAATCAACCCATATTTATAGATTTTCATGTACATGTTATGGATTTTTCAAGCAAACAAACACACTCTTCTGATTGGTTGTTTCTCACAGAAAGTTTACCTTTCATCTCTTTCTGACTGTTTCTTGAATGTCAGGTCATCCATATGTTAATTGTATCCACCTACGCAAAGTGTGCTGTGATTGGTTGTTGAATCAGTCTTGTTCATATTTTCTCACGACCAATATTAGCGACATAAACATTGATGTAAATTATTATCTACCAATTGGCTAGCCGCCTGCTCTCAACACAGCATAATTTAACGCAAGAAAAACCTGGCCATCCTTTAATAATAATAATAGTAGCTTTATTCGAAGCTGGACTTTTGATACAAATATGGAATTTTCAGCATGGAGTAGAATATATGCATCTAATTTTCTCATTAGAGGCATGATAATAAGAAGAGGTCATTTTGATTGATACTATTATTCAATGAGAAATGGAAAAAAAATTGAGTCACATGAAACTGCTAACTGTAGTGATGTTACAGTGAAAACATTCGATCGTTTTTTAGGGTATTTTAGGGTTGTCGTACTTTGTTTTTCGAGCGTAAAGTCTCCTATATTTTCTTTTAGTTCTACTTGATGAGACGCAAGGAGTAAATTGAGTATGGGAGGTGACGCTCAGAGTCCAACAAGATAAAATTCACTTAATTTCTTGCATGAGTCCATGTGTTTATGTAGAACGTCTTTAAAATGTTTTTGTATCGACCCCCCTCATTCGTCCTACTGACAGCTTGCAGTGCCCTTCGCAGTGTGAAAAAGTCTTTCGTAAGTAGACCAAGAAAGATTAATTGAAACGAGGGCAGCAATGATGAAGAATAGGCCCTTTTTTTATTCTTTTACGTTCACAGTGAAAAATAGGACTTCAGGCTTTAACTTTGAAGTTTCAGTAGCATTGGTGTTTTTTTTTACGGCGTGGGGTTGCTACCCTCACACCCAACTTCCCCTCTTTGTCTGTATTCTAACTGGCTCAGTGAAGTCAAGGTGTGTGCCGGCCGGGACTGGAACCCCTGACCACATGCATGGTCGGCCAGCACTCTATCGCCGAACCACCAACGCACGTGATGTGGGAAGACAAGGGAAAATCAGAGGGAATACGCAGTCCAAGGTATTCAAACATTCTACTTAGTTCCAACTTCAGTGCCATATATGATGGTAGAATCATAGTAGAACGAACCAGTTCATCTAAGTCGCGCTTGCATCTCACAGTGAAATTAACCACCCGTCATTTTGGGGAGGGATTTAGTTTAAGACTATTTGACAAGTACCACTAGTTGATTTATAATAAAAAGCGATTCATTTTGGAACAGTTTAACTGAGAAGTAACTGGGATGGAAACAGTCAAACTGTCTACATACTTAACAAGGTTGGTTTCATCAGGATGGAGGAAGTCATATAAAAAGGAATCGTAACTGAAAACGAGAAAGAACTGCACCTTTAGGAACACCAGCTAGTGTAAGTTAAACAGTAGAGGACTTCTCACCAAGCATTGTACTGTTTCCTATCAGAAAAGTAAGCATCTAACATTTTAATAATTCAGAACTCTGCATGTTTCACAACAAGCTGCTCGTTTAACAAAATAGGCCTCAGTGCAGAGTTAAAGGTAGATGTTTATAATCAAGGATGGCACACTGAAAATAAAATACTTGGAACCTCTGCCTAAATTAGAGACAATCTGATGATGTAAGACATAAAAGGGCAACGTTATCACTTCAATATCTTCCTTTATATTAGGTTAGCCATTCAAAGTGGACAGAGTAAGAGTATATTGATATCCCAAGCTGACAAAAGGACTGATGACCTTCTCGCTGTCGCAATCACTCTGAATGGGTAGATTTAGATGGGGAATGGGTATATTATTAATGGGAAAAAGGTGTAGAAAAGTGTAAAAAGGTATTAAAAACAACAGTTTCCTTTAATAATGTGTTTTGAGTGACTCCTTTTATTCCACTGGAGTATCAGAGAAGAAGTCAAACCACATTCTACACTTTATATCCATCCTAATGGCTGTAAGCTATTTCCTTCCGGTAATTGTTATAAACTGGCTTTCTATTTCGTAGGATGCCTGAAACGAAACCTGCGTGCAGCTACTATGAGATTATTTGTTTTGACATCTAAGAATTGTTCAGAATAGTTCGCCTTGTGACGGACGAAACCCAGAAAAGATAAGCTTTTTTAACCAGCCATATTAATATATGTATGAAATTCGTGCATTGTAGTAGTGAGTAATTTCATATTACATGGAGGATTTAGTCATGAGCTGACATCAGTTAGAGAACCACTGGAAGACCTGGGAGTACTGGACAGCTGTTTCGTCCTAGTTTGGGACTCTTCAGCAGTACGCACCCACCAGGGTTCGAACCCAGTACCTTCTAGTTACTACAAGGCGAGCTCGTAGACCATTGAGCCACTGGGACTCGATCCAATGGTCCTTGAATTCTAACTTCTGCCAGTTCACGACATAGAGCGACCACTTCACAATGTCTTCTTCGATGAGTTACTGCCTCATCGAACTTTCCCTCTGTTCTCTACTGTTCCTCGTAAGCAGGCTTAATTATTGTCGATAAACTGTATGTTCCCATCTATGTCACTCGAGGATTTAAATTGCGATGTCACTTGAATTATCCCTTTAAGCAGATGATGTCCAATCCATCTTCATTTTTCTGCATATCTATTAGGCGGCAATAGGTTCTTCGTTCGTTTGTTGCCAGAGTGCCTTATTGCTTGTTTTTTGCTGACCTGCCATCTAATTTAATCTTCAGTGTGATGAGCGCGAAGGCATCTGTGTCGATCAGTGCCTGCTGCAGTAGACAGATGGAAATACTACTATTTCCTTGTTCCCGAAGAATTGAACAGCTAGCTTAACATTATTGTGGAATTCTGACAAATGGATATTTCGATTGCTGAAAAATCAGACACCACAGCCAAATGACCTTGAACCAACCACTCAGATTCTTGTGGACGAAAGACGGCATTTCAATAATAAACGTGTATTTACATGATGTATATACATAATAAAAATTAATTATACATTGTATATGTCTCTAATATGCTGTAAAACTGCTTTTTATATGCTTACAGTCCTTCAATAGAATTTGTCTGTCTGTCTGTCTGTTTTCGACATAGAACTTTGCACCGATGTGCAGAAGTTCAGGTCGCCACTCTCCCTCCATGTAGCACACAAAGCAAGAGAAGAAAGCAGAAGAAATGCATTATAGAGACAGTAAACAGAGGTGTGAGACAAAGGAGGAGTAATAACAAAGAACAATATAGTTTCATTGGAGACCATAAGTCACAAGGAGTGGATGCATCTGCGCTGTCATTGAGAACGATTTTGAGCCAGCCATATCACCAATTGTTTCCAACCATTGGTTTTTACTGTCCCAGGGACCCCAACCAGGAAGTCTACATCTTCCTACGTGGCTTAGACTAACTGTTCTGGATTTCATTGACTCTCGCCATGTTTTGGTTTGACCGCGGCTAGCTCATTTCCAGCCTGACCCTATGTCAGCTAACATTGTCCATCGGGATGGGAAGGCGGTGACTAGGCAGGTATGCGTACACATGTCCTAACCATCTCAGTCGATGTAATTTCACAGCCTCGTCGATTGATTTCCCCACCCACCTACCTAGCACTCGGCCGAAGCCTAACCTCAACATTGCACACCTTATTATACCACTTCACACTGGAGGGAGATAGAACTCAGACAGCTAATCAGACTTTTCATGTCTTCCACTCTCAATGTCCAGGTCCCGTTCACAGCCATAATGGAGGACGGAGCGGACTGGTGAGCAGTACACCCTCCCTTTGGTCGATAGAATTTATACGGCTAATACTTGTAGGACCCACTAATCTTGATGAATGAATGATTGACTTTATGTTGTGAATACTTCCTGAAGATGATAGTAACAGTGCCCAAAACATCTCAAATGGATGCTGTCGTTAATCTCCGTTGGAAATTTCACCCTAACTCTAAATCAGGTTGAAACACACAACGAAGGCCATGAGATGCATCTTTTTTTAATGTTGAGCGGTCTGATTAGTTGGTTCAAGGTCATTTGACTGTCGTATCTATTCTTTGCTGTTGCAGAAGTTTACATCATACATTAAGTCTGTGCGTCGGTGGCACAGCTTTGGTAGGATGCTCGCCGACCACGCATGTGATCTGGGTTTCGATCCCCGGCCACCGACGCACTCCTTCACATCGCTAAGCCAGTAAATAAGACTGGTAAAGAGGGGAAGTTTGGGGGATATGAGGCTAGCAGCTCCATCCTGTAAAAGCAAACAAAACTGCTATCGAAACTTCAAGCCTGAGGTTTAAAGCCTTATGTTCCACTGGGAACGTAAAGGAATAGAAACTAAGAAAAAATATACACAGCCTAACTGGTTGCTTCCAAGTCGTAGCGGATTTTGTTAGCCTTGGAGCCTTATATGCTAACTTTGCCTTCACTGTGCATCGGTGGTACAGCGGTTAGGACTCTCGCTAACCATGCACATGGCTTGGGGTTCGATCCCCGGCCGACGCACCCATGATATCAATGCCTGGCCTGCTAAATTTGGCCTACGGATGATATCACATGCTGAAAATTCCACACTTGTACCAAAGATACTATGTGGAATCAAGCTATAGTAATAAATTAAAAAATAAAAATAAATAGTCAGTGGAATAAAGTGACAGTTTTAATTGTAATCCTTCTTCCTTCTAATTTTTTCTCCTTTCTTTTCTCTTTTTCGAATCTTTAGAATAAGTTATGTGCATAGTGTAGCACATTTTCGTATGTATAAACAAATTCGCAGTCAAACTGCCTCATTTATACGTGGATTTTATTCAATATTAAATCCTGATTGGTTGGCAATGTTCTCGCCACCAGAATTACAAACTCTTATATCAGGTGATTGTGGTTCTATGGATATTGATGATTTAAAGTAAGCCAGTGTATATATCACTGTCTTTGTATTGTCGAATATTGTTATTATATTCATTGTATATATATTCTTCATTGAAATAATCGTATTTATAATCATAACATTAATAACGGAGAAAATCTGTAATTCAGATGGATGTGTTTTTAGTATTGTTGTTTTCTTCCTGGTGAATTAGCTACTATTGTTATTAGTATTCCCTTTGGATCTGAGATGAACTTAAGGCTTTGAAAGCAAACTTTCATTTCCTCCAGTTCTCTGTGGTCCTTACTAGCTGGCTCTACAGTTAGGCATAAAGTGGACGAAATTTCAGCACGGATACAGAAGGTCAGTTTATGCCGTCTCTGGCGTAGACGTAATATCCGGATATCGACCAGAGGACGTGTGTACTGCTCATCAGTCCGCTCCCTCCTCGTTAATAGCTGAGACCTGGCCATTGAAAAAGGAATACATGAAAAAGCTGACTAGAGCTGTCTTTGAAAAGAGGTGTCTGCGTCCTATCTCACATGCTAAATGGTAGGTGTAATAGGGTGAGCAATATTTAGGTGAAGCATCGGTCGAGTGCCACGTGAGGAGGGAAATCAATCAACGAGGTTGTGAAGCAGTTACATCGACTAAGATGGTTAGGACACAATGTTACACATACCTACCTACCCAGAACCTTCTGCGACAACAGGCGATGTTGGCCGACATAGGATTGATCAGGTTAGAAAAGAGAAAGCTATTGGCGGTCAAGCCAAAACATGACATCAGTCAGTGAAATCCACAACAGTTAGTTTAAGCCACGTAGGAAGGTGTAGGCTTCCTGGTTGGGGTCTTCAGGACGGTGAACACTAGTGGCTGGAGACAATTAGTGATATGGCTCAAAATCGTTGTCAGCGGCACAGATGCATCCACTCCTTTTGACTTATAATACGCAATAAAACTATATGGTTCTTCGACAGTACAGGGAACTTGTGCAAATTTTTATAAACCTCTGCCAAAATCTCTGACGAAGGAGAAACTGTATGACGTCTTCCATGTAAATCCTGAGGAGTATGCTGCAAAAACTATTGTTATAGCTTTATTCTGAGTGCAAAACAATTGATTATTAATTGGTGGGTGGTGGCTAGCAGTGGAATCCAGGATGCGGGTTTCATCTTATATGGGACTGGTCAGCTGCATCTACTTGCGATCTCCGGTGCGTGATGGTGTCTCCCAGTGATACTGGAACCCGCCAACCATAATAACTCATATCGTGGCATTTAGTGACTTAGTACGTAACGCTTCAGCGTCAGAAACGATGGGTTTGAGTCTCAGAGGGACCACCATCTTACTATCGATTGCTAACACATCTAGATGATGAGTCTCAGTTTGGTCTGTGTCTGTTTTCGAAATAGAACTTTGCATCGATGTGCAGAAGTTCAGGTCTCCACACTCCCTCCTTGTACCACACAAAGCAACAGAAGAAAGTAGAAGAAATGCAAAATAGAGAGAGTAGACAGGGACATAAGACAAAAGGACTAGTAATAACGAAGAACAATATATTTCCATTGGAAATCATAAGTAACAAGGAGTGGATGCATCTTCTCCAGCCATTAAGAACGATAACTTTGAGCCAGATCACCAATTGTTTCCAGTCATTGGTTTTTACCGTCCTGAGGAACTCAACCCGGAAGTCTACACCTTCCTACGTGGCTCAGACTAACTGTTCTGGATTTCATTGACTCTCGCCATGTTTTGGTTTGACCGCGGCTAGCTCATTTCCAGCCTGACCCTATGTCAGCTAACATTGTCCATCGAGAGAGGAAGGCGATGACTAGGCAAGTATGCGTACACATGTCCTAACCATCTCAGTCGATGTAGTTTCACAGCCTCGTTGATTGATTTCCCTACCCATCCACTTAGCACTCGACCGAAGACTAACCCCAATATCACTCACCTTACTACACCTACCACATCACTTGGGAGATAGAACGCAGGCACCTATGATCGAAGATAGCTAATCAGGCTTTTCATGTCTTCCACTCTCAATGGCCAGGTCTCACATCCATAAAGGAGGAGGGAGCGGACTGCTGAGCAGTACATAGGTCGTTTATTAAAGAAATCAACACATATTTATAGATTTTCATGTACATTATTATAGCCTTTTCAAGAAAACAAACACACTATTCTGATTGGTTGTCTCTCACAAAAAGTTAACCTTTCATCTCTTTGTGGCTGTTTCTTGAATGTCAGATCATCTATATGTTAACTGTATCCGCATACGCAAAGTCTTTCCTTTCATTTTTCTCACGACCAATTGTGGGGACGTAGACATTGACGTAAATTAGTGTCCACCAATTTCGGCTAACAGCCAGCTCTCACCACAATGTCATCTTGAAGTTGTACTTTCTTTCTCTTTTGTATCTGGTGGCTTGCTTAAATCACTTGGCTACGTAATTTTTTACGTAGTAGCATGAGTCAAATTTACTCAGTTGTACTTAGTTTCAACTACCTGTTTTACTACATCCTTGAAGAACAATCCGTATTTCACGCCTTTTTTTTAGTGTCTTTCAACCTACCTCTTGGTTTCACTTGAAGGGACCTTGTATACCTTGAGCAATGGACGGTTTTTTAGATCGAACGAAATTATGTCGAATAATATACTTTGGATTATTGTTGTATTTGATGATGATTTTGTTTAAAGAGTTAATATGATTTAGCTGTGAATTCTTTGCTATATATAAACATATTGTCCAAAATAAAGCTACCATTATTATTATTATTATTATCACTATTATTATTATTCCTTTCAGGCAGCATACACGTTATTCCGGTGGATTTCATAGTAATCATCGTGTTATTCGTTGGTTATGGGATATTTTAAGACGTGATTTCGATGATCGTGAGCGTAGTTTATTTTTAAAGGTAAATTATTATTATTATTGTTATTGGTAGTATTGTTACTTCAGTGGCATGTTATCTTCGTGTTTATGCCATATCTATTTATAGTTTTGCGGATTCTAGGTTTTGTAGAAAAAGAAACACTATCATGGGGGACACTTTATGTATAGATGTGTAAAATTAATTCAGTCGTTACAGACCAATGAGAGAGTTGCACATTGATATCGAATGTTTACACTGTACAAGATTATTTTATTATTCCCTTGTTTGCCAAACAGAACTTCAATAGGACATCTCCACTTCACCCTGTTTTCTGTCGTCCCTTTTAGCTGGCTCCACGATCTCCTTCATGTCATTCTTGGACATACGTCTAACACGTCATTTCCCATTTGGGATCCATTCGAGGGGCCTGCTTTGTGCGTGATTTCGCTCAACGGTCGCCTTAACGTGTGTCCAATGCATCTCTTTTTCCTTGTGTATATTTGTTATCTGTTAGATTCTTTGTTGGTTTGAATACACAGTTCCTTGAAGCCGCACCTTCACTGTGTCTTGTGTCAGCTTGTTGGTTTTTGCCATCGTCATATTTGTTGACCTAAAGGCGGTATTCGATTCCTTCGACCGAGAGGTACTATGGCGATGCTAGGTTGTAAAGAGAATGCCCAGAAAATGCATTGCAATAATCAAGACACCCAGTCTACTTTAATTCATGCAGCCAGCCAAGTGAGTTGTCATCTGAGCTGTTGACAACTAGTGGTGTCCGTCAGGGATGCTTATTGTCCCCATTTCTATTGAGTTTCATCGTAAATGTACTAATGGAATTAACCCTAACTGATTCAGTTCAGCTGCTCAGGGATTGACTTGTTACCAGGGAGGGAATAATCTCGTTGACTTAGAATATGCGAATGATATAATCCTCCTAGATGAGGTGAAGACATTGACAAAATACAGAGTCTTCTGAACACCTTGAGCTGCGATCTACGATTGGCATGTTTGGCATGCGATTCGCTCCCGCCAACTGTTACAGCATTGACTGGACTACACTGACTCCTAGTTTAGAAATAGGGAGTGAAGTGGTTGGTGGAGCGTGTTGACCGCTTCACTTATTTGGGAAGTACCATCATCCCCAACACGAACGGGTTGATCTCTGACGAAATCTCAGCTAAATACGGATACACAGGGTTAGTTTCGCAAATGCCAGTTTACGCCGTCTCTGGCGTAGACTTGATATCCGGCTGGCTGTCAATCCAAGGGGTAGCAGTTCACTCTATCCTCTCTTATGGCTGGCTATGAGACATGGCCATTTAAAGTGCTCTAGATACGACAAGGCCGGCTAACTGTCTTTGATCATAGGTGTCTGTGTTCTATCTCTCATGTTATGTGGTAGGTGTAATTGGTTGAGAAATATTGAGGTGAGGCATCAGTCGAGTGCTAAGTAAGTGGGAGAAGGGAATCAATGGACGAGGTTGTGAAGTAGCTGCATCGATTGAGTGAGATAGTTAGGACATGTGTTACACATACCTGCCTAGCCATCGCCGTTCACGACAGCAGGCAATGTTAGCTGACTGACATAGGGTAGTTCAAGTTGGAAGAGAGAAAGCTAGTGGTGATCAAACCGAAACATGGCTTTACCACTGAATGAAATGAATAACAGTTACTTTCAATCAGTCACGTAGTAAATCAGAACATTTAAATAATGGAATTAAACAAATAAAGCAAATATTGCTTATAATTAATTACCCACCGGAATTTACTCAAAAATATCTAAAAACTTATATGGATGATAAAAGTAGTAAGGTAAATAATGAAAATAATATGAATAATAAGGAACTCAAAGGCTTAATATCACTGTCATATAAAAAAGAAACATTAGAAACCCTGTATAGGATTCTTAAGGAAACTGGAATTACTCTGGTTGGCATTTAAACTAGTTGAATCACTCATAGACAAACTTTATATGCCTAAAGACCCTATAGATCCACTTAGGAAAAATAATATATCAAGTAATATGTAATGATTTTGAGGTCAATTACATATATCAAACTAATATATCAGGATCAACTCGATTATCAGGGCATAGGAATTTAACTAACCTAGAATGATTGATCCTGCTAAGTTTGTGGTGACAGGAGGCTGCTAGCCAATTGGTAGACATTAATTTACGTCAGTAGATATGTCGCAAATATTGGTCGTGAGAAAATATGAACAAGACTGATTCAACAACCAATCACAGCAGACTTTGAGCAGGCAGATACAGTTAACATATAAAACACAAAATAATCGAGCAAAGAATATTCTATTCGATAAATTCCTCTTCTGGCTCTACAGTTATATATATGTTTATATACACAGTAGTTAGTAACAATATTAGTGTTTTTTTAAATAATATCAATTTGTAAAGTATGATCAATGCAATTACAGTTGATAAAAATGCTTAAATAATAAAAATAATAATAAAGCTATAATAGCGAATAGAATATCAACTAAAATTAGGAAAATTTCACAAAAATTCAGGATCATTCAAGCCTAGATGGTCAAGGTAATAATAATGTCTGAACTAACCTCTTTTGGATGCATAAATTAGGCTTGTTAATATGGATCCCCACAGTCTCAGCAATATTTAGTAGTCGAACTCTTAAGACAAAATTGAGATTCGTAGATATGCGGTGAATGACCCTCAATGACTCGTTGGCATCAATTTTGTGTTCTGTATCCGCAAGAAGAGATAGGATAGTGCTGCGAATAGATTTTGTTTGTCCTTTGCTCAACCACTCAGGGTGATGTTTAGAAATCCGACGAGAAACACGCCTAATTGTACGGCCTATGCAATTAACTGGCTCACTCCACAGGAGCAGTCAAATTGGTAGATACACGTGGATGAGGCGAAATTAGGCAGTTTGTCTTTTACTCCCGAACGCAGAAGACGAGTGGTCTTAAAGATACAACGTAATTCAGCAGCAGGGAATGCTCTCTGTTTTACCGCATTTCTAATGCGCTGTGTTAGCATATAGATAACCTGGCATTCAAGAAAAAGTCACAATGAGATGCAAGGCAAACTTTCTGTGAGAAACAACCAATCAGAAGAGTGTGTTTGTTTGCTTGAATAATCTATAATAATGCACATGAAAATATATAAATACGTGTTGATTTCCTTAATAAACGATCTGTTGCCTGGCCCTTGTCTTCTGTTGTTACAAGGTGAATAACTTTGAAAAAACAGAGCTCGGCCAATGCATTTCATTGGCTTGCATTTAATCACAAAATAGGGTGAAACAGAGTGAGAGTAGAGAGAGAGAGAGGTTAATTTCTAGTTAACATCAAACACGTGCGGTCGAGATGATACGATATCTATCCTGGTTGTAGTAGTGAAAAAATGGAATTGAATAAGGTTATATAAAGCAAGTCTATTTTTTTTTTAAAAATTAAAGCCTGACTCCATACAGTATTTTTAGTACAACTATGGAATTTTCAGAATGTGATATCGGTAGCCGAAATTCAGCAGGCCGACCATTGATATCAGGTGTGCGTCGGTAGAGGGTCAAACCTCGGACCATGTGCATAGTCGGTGAGTGTCCTGATGGCTGTGCCACCGATGCAGTTGTGTTATGAATATATATATATATATATATATATATATATATTGATATGATTATGAGAAATAAATTGTGCTCGAAATATTATTATTATTCCCTTGGGTTCCGAGTGGAATGTATAACTTCAACAACACATCTCCACTTTGTTCTACTTTTTGCCGTCCTCTTCAGTTGGGTCCACAATTGTCCATAATCTGTCATCTCCTCCTCTTCCTAACACGATCTCTTCCATGTCACCGTTGCACCGATGACCCACTTGTCACTTCCCATTGGGATTCCACTCGAGTGATGGATGGGCTGCATTGTACTTGACCGTCATTCGACGGCCTCCTCAACGTATACCCAGTCAGTTCATCTCCATTTTCTTCTGCATATTTGTTGAGCGACCTCGAAATATTATTATCCAGTTTTTCTTACTGTATCACTGGGAGTTGCATCAAATAAATTTTTTGGAGGGAAAGTGACCAGTTCCACTGATACACACATTCGTGCACAACAGAGTAAGACAGAAAAGTTTAGCTGTAAAAAGTAATGTAAATTTAGCTAAAGGGGGGAAAGAGGGATATCTGATCACTGTATTTTAGCTTATCAAATCTACACCGAATACATGCAAACAGGAATGACGCAACACTATTACCGTAAATATGGAAAATATTACTATCAATACAATCAAGGGATGAGAAATAATTGAATATGTATATATACACCTTGATATAATTATGGGTAACAATCATTTGTGCTAGAAACGTCGTCAATATGTAAAAATATTAATGTGGTTTTTTGTCAACCACATTTATTCTGTGATGGAGTTGTATCCTACCCAGAATTCTGGAAAGATTTATTTCCTTTATTTATTTATTTTTGATTTTTGATTTACAGCTTGATTCCACACTGTATTTTCGGTACAAGTATGGAATTTTCAGCATGTGATATCGGTAGCCCAAATTTTGCAGGCCGACCATAGATATCAGGTGTGCGTCGGTGCGGCCTCGAACCCCGGACCATGTGCATGGTCGGCGAGAGTGCTAACCACTGTGCCACCGACGCTTTGTAAGAATAAACAAAGTGTTGCATTTGTTCGTATACCTTCATCTGCTTAACATACCACAAATTGTTCATTGATGTTTCTTTTTTTATTATTATTATTTTAGTTTGTAACTAGTTGTTCGAGACCACCTCTATTGGGCTTTGCAAATCTGGAACCACCATTCTGTATACGTTGTGTGCATTATACAAATGAAGATCAAGTAAGAATTGGGTTGTTTTGCTGTCTTGTCTAAGCGCTTTTAGGCTGTGGTATAACTCCGTGAAATTTTTGACTGTTGTAGTAAGGCGTAGACTGCCTGGTTAGGATGCTCGGGATTCTAAGTACCAATGTGGATGGAGACTACTGGTGGTGTGCTATAGCTTATAAATGTTCTGAAATAGCGCAGATGCCTTCACTCTCTGTAATCTCTCGGATTCATTTAGTCGGTGTATATTTTTCCATGTTACCTTGTCTTTCTTGCGTGAATTTCTGCGCATTAGATTATTATTATATTGGTATTATTTCCTTTAATTCCTAGAGGAACATAGGGCTTCAGCCACACGTCTTCATTGTGTTCGGTTCTCTGCCAACGTTTTCACCTGGCTCCGAATCTGCCCACATGCTTTCATCTCCTCTTCACATGTCCTCCTCCAAGTCACCTCATTGACGACCAACTAGACACTGCCCTTTCGGGTTCCACTCGAGCGATGGCTTGTCTTGTGATGTCACTTGATGGTTTGTTATCTCAGAGTATGGCCAATCCGTCTTCATTTCTTCCTGCCTATTTGTTTCACAATCGGTTCCTGCTATTTTGGTTCGCTCCTAGAGATCGCTGTTGTTGATCTTTTCTGGCCATCTGTTCTTGAGTAGTATTGAGCGAAGACAGCTGTCGATGAAGGTCTGTAGTTTGTTTGAGGTGCTCTTTATGACGCTCCAAGTCTCTGATCCCTATGAGAAGTGGCACTGACTTCGCATTGGAGTTGAAATCCGGATTTTATTTTCATTGTCATGCTGAGTGCTGTTGACCTTTACACAAACTTGGGGGTAATGAAGGCTTGTCTTGCTTTCCCGATGCTTGCTTTCAAATCCTCGTCAGTTCCGTTCGCCTGTAGCTGAAACGATGCTTCCTAGGTAGGTTGGTAGGTAAAGGAGGTTGTTTCTTTCAGGTTCCTCCCATTAATGCTGGCTGATTGTTGTTTGTTGTAGTTGTTGGCTAGGAATCTTCATCACCTCTGTTTTTCCTATGTTCAGTTGAAGTTCTATCTTTGATTCTTCTTCAATCAACTTGTTGCTTTTCGCTTGCAAATCTCTCGATCGACGCTGTCGAAGGCCTTTTCACATTCGATGAAGTTGAGATAGAGAGGTGACTGCCATTCCAAGCTTTGTTCAATAATGATCCGTAGTGTGGCGATTTGATCAATACATGATTTGTTTCTCCTGAATCCAGCTTGTTCCGGTTGAAGTTTTTCATCCAGGTCTAACTGCTTTTCCGGCTTTTAGCATCTTGATTGCCTTTAGCACTTCGGTTCTCGTCGGGGGTTGATGTTCACTGGTAGTTCTGATTCCATTGTTGGTATTATATCTTTTATCTTTATTGTTTATATACTGGATTAGCTGTGCCGGAGGTTCAGGGGAACAATGCACGTTAGCTGTACACGTTGTCCTGGAGAAGAGGGATGGTTGGGGATGGGTTTCACATCCTGACTCCGTTGATACGACACACAAGCACTGCTGATACTTTAAAGCTTAAAAAAAGGTTAGCATTCGTATGTTCTACTTTGAACTCAAGCATAAATACTTCCACACTTACAAAATAATAAATCTGCAAAACTGCCTATTTCTATTAACCTATCATCTTGTTGATCTTTGTCCGTGTGGGTGGATATGTAATTGATTCGTTGGCCTAATCAGGCAAATTTTAGTCGATGAATGTCGAGGTCACAAGACACGTTCGACATAATTCAGTTTGGCTAACTGGGCAGTATCATTGGATTAATGTAGACTTAGAATTCATCACTGAATGAATGAGCCCGAATAGCTCAATGATAACGTCTCTGACTGCAGTACTCACTGCGTGACGCGGGTTCGAATCTCAGAAGGGACATGAGTTCCTTCAAGGTTGCAGATACGCCTTGCTGACTAGTGAGTGCCACGTAGCACGAAACTCAGGTCCAAGGCTTCCTGCCGGATTACCTCCAACCACCTAATATCGAATAATTAGTGCGTCAAGGTGGTGTAGATCTGCTACCTGGAGATAGACTTTTCGACCTCGAGTATACAGACGATATCGTCTTACTGTGCGATAGAATGCAGGCTGCCCAAATCGCACTTAATCGATTCGTTGGACAGAACTGTGCTCTGGAACTGTCTGTTAGAGAGGGGTGCACCTGAGAAATTTGTTAACATCTTGAAAGCCCTATACAGAAACACCTCAGGTAGAGTGAGGGCATATAGCCAACTATCATCACTGTTTCAAACCAACAGTGGAGTTAGACAGGGTTGCCCAATCTCTCCATTTCTCTTTAAATTTGCCGTCAATAACATTCTGGAGTCAGCTCTGAAGAATGTGCGTAAAGGTGGTGTAGATCTGCTACCTGGAGATAGACTTTTCGACCTCGAGTATGCAGACGATATCGTCTTACTGTGCAATAGCATGCAGGCTGCCCAAATCAGTTGGCGATCAGTGTCTTTAAGTATGGTATTTGCTTTGCACCGTCTAAGTGCAAAGTACTGTTACAGGGTTGGCAGGAGCCTGTACCTGCACTCACCCTTGTGGGTGGACCGCTTGAAGTTGTTGATGAGTTTGTGTACCTGGGTAGTTGTGTGAGTGCTGGCGGAGGGTGACGGATGAGATTTCCAACCGTATAATGAAGACTAGGGTGGCATACGGTAACTTGAGCCACCCATGGCGCCGTCGCGATGTTATCCTGGCTGTCAAAGGTCGGGTATACAATGCTTCGGTGCAGGCTGCGCTGCCCTACGCCTGTGAAACCTGGCCTCTCCGAGTGGGCTGAGGATGTCCGGCGACTCTGAGTGTTCAATCATCGCTGTGCTTGCGTTCGATGGCATCATCACGTGAGTAATTCTGAGGTTCGGCGGCGTGTGTTTCAACAGAGTGGAGATTTCCATGCATTAAGTGTCGTCCTCTGGAAACACCGGCTCCGGTGGCTTGGACATGTTCTGCGAATGTCATCCCAGAGGCTTCCGTACATGTCTCTGTTCGCTAGCCAGCCCTGAGATGGGATGGAAAAGGCGGAAAGGTGGTCAGTCCATGACGTGGCGTCGTGAGATAGATGAAGGATGTTTGTGCTAGATTAGCATCGGTTGGTGCGTCACGTCTCCCTGGTTGAAGTTCAAGTGATAGCTCGAAACATTATCGGATATGGCCAAGAATCGTAGTCAATGGCGAACGTGTTGCAATTTCCTTCTTTCTTCCTTTCCGGTTGATAGTTAACGAATACTGTTTGAACTTGTTACGTATGACTGTTTTCCTTCCAGATGAAGTTCTTCATCCGTTTTCTACTTATATTTTTTTTTACTTTTGATCTATGTTGTTTTATTATAACGGTGTAGCACATCTTTCTTGGTGTCATATTGTACCAAGTATTTTTTTCTGCGTTTAAATAAATAAATAAATAAATAAAATAGATTTCATCACTAATCGACTTCACTTAGAGAGAATCTTTGGAAACCAGGGATTGGAGCAGCAATAGAGGGCGACTGTTTCGTCCCTGTTTTATGACTCTGAAGCAGCTCCGCGCACCCAAAACTCAACCAGAAATCAAACGTTGAACCTTCTATTTTTGGTTTGAAGGTTGATATTTTGAAATAGAAAGTCTCCCATCCATAGAACTATATAAGTGTAATCATGAATATTTATTTATTCGCCTCCTCATATGTTTTCATAGGATGTTGGAGATACTCTAGGCTCGGTGTTAAAAGGATTCCTCGGTGTTGTTGGACGTCGTGAAGAAGTCTCTCGTCTACCGACTGCATCAACTTGTTTTAATCTCCTTAAACTGCCGAATTATTCATCGCGTAGTGCATTGAAAGAGAAGCTGAGATATGCAATAAATAGTCATGCTGGCTTTGAGCTATCATAACTTCTTTTTTTTTCATTTTTGTCTTCTTACACTGTTCACAGTTTTGAGAACTGTAAATATACACTTATATTTCAATTGAATTGACGCATTTCATTGTCCTCCAGCGTGTTGTTATTGTTTTTTCTCTCTCTCTCTCCTTTTCATTTTGTAATTAACAGACTGTTTTATGTGTTTCATTTATTTCTGTTCTCTATTTGAGTTTGAAACTTTTCACATTTTCCTTTTGAAATGTGGCAATTCATACCTGATTTTTCATTTCTTCATTGAATAATATAATGAGACGTGTTTCATGATGATAATATTAATAATATTTCATGACTGTGATGACAATTTTAGATAAAGTTCACGAATGTTTTTTTTGTCATCCTTGTCGATTCCTTTCAGTGCTTTACTAATATTTCTGTTTTTTTTTGCTCTTGTGTTTCTTTCTTGAATAATGAAAAAGGCTATCTCTTCTGAAATTTTGAAGTCTTTTCTGCTATGCCTAACTTCCACAGTATTTAAAATTCCATAGGGGAAAATATACAAACAAACTGAGGGAGTTCCCATGGGATCACCAATACTCCCGGTTGTAGCAGATATATTCATGGATAGGTGGGGAAACATAGAGATTGAATCGTTCACCCCCATCCACCCCAAAAGTATGGTGGAGGTATGTAGATGACACATTCACTGTACTCAGAACACAGGATATAGATAGATTTTTCGAACACATTAACTCAAGGGCGGAGGCAATTCAATTCGTTTATGAATTGGAAAGTCAGGAAAGGGAGTTTCCAATGTTAGATTGCAGTGTAAAAAGGGAAGAAGATGAGAAGTTAAACACACTAGTGTGTGTTTACAGGAAACTCACACATTCAAACAGATATTTGGACTTTCAATCATCCCATCCTATGTCAGTAGAAATAGGATTGGTGAAATGTTTAAGTGACAGAGCACAAAAACTAAGTAGTACCAAGGAAAATCTAAGACAGAAAGTGATACACATAAAAGAAGCCTTGAAACGTAATAATTACCCTGACAAATTAGTCAGGAAATATATAAGGAGATATAAAAATAAAATAAATAATGATAATAGCGATAGTGATAATAATATTAATGACGACACCAACAATAAGGAATCTAAATCATCAGTAGTAATTCCATACAAGGAAGGAACCTCGGAAGCCTTACTCAGAATTCTTAACAAGACAAGAATAGAAAGTGGCTGGTATTCAAACCAACTAAAAACTCAGTTAGAAACAAGATTTGTCGGTTAAAGGATCAATTCTGTGGAGCCTTTAAAACAAAACAATTTAGGTTATCTAATACCCTGCCTGCAATGATTGTCAGGTCAAATACATAGGTCAAACTAGTAGAACAGGGACAGTAAGACTAGCCGAGCATAAAAACCTAGCAGCGAAATCTACATAAGTTGACCTGAATAAGATCTAGAGAATAGTTCAGCTATATAGCACTGCATGCAGTTATACACAATCATACAATGGAATGAGATAAGATGACAGTTCTAAAATCTAATGTCACAGTAGGGTGGAGGGAGAGATCGATAACAGAAGCATTGTCTATCGAATCAACTGCAAACACGTGTAATAGGAATGATTCAGCACCTGTCCTGTCAGATATCTGGAAAATTCTACCACCCCTACAACGACAAATAGGAGAGGACAAAGAAAACCATGAAACTCAGATTTTGAAGTCGTGTGATTATAATTGATATGATCATGAACCACAATAGATTGTGTTAGAAACCTTGTCATCCAGTAAATACTAATACTTTTTCACTCATTGTGTGATACATCTAATAAACAAACTAATATGGAATTGCTTACTACCACAGTCCGTTGATATATCTGCGAATCGTATCCGCCCGCGCTTAGTCTGCCTTGATTGGTTGTTGAGTTCCTCAAGGTTAGGCTTTGTTCTTGTTTTTTTTTGTCATGACCCTCATTTGGGACGTAAATATTGACGTAATTTGCTGTCTACCGATTTCTGGCTAACAGACAGCTGTCACCACGGCAGTACATCGCAAAACGAGTTTGAAAGTACGACTTCCAGGGTTGATCCTTTTTTATCGCGTGTCAAGATCGGGTAGGCAGCACAAAAAGCGTGCTAGTTATCTGAGGGGAGCACTGTACTGCTGCTCCATCCATCTTTCCCAGCAGTGCAACTTCACCTACATTCTTCATCTACATAGTGTTAGCAGCTTACACTACGATAGTAGCTACCTTCAGCCGAAGCTGCTATCCAGACGACCTTTGTAGCATGCTAGGATCTTCAGGAACACTAATTACAACCAATGTACCTCGATGGGTCATCGTGGTGTCCAAGCTCGACTGGTTCATCAATGTAGCAGCTGTCGATCGGTAGGGAAAGTATATCTGAGATTAACTAGAGTAGATACAACACCATATGACTCAGATTAAATCCCCACACAAAATTCTAAGATATAGTACATTTAAGATGTAGCACTTCAATGATATTCCCACCTAGCAGCATCACAGTGTTAGACTAGGATGATGCTTTAGTTCCTCTGCACTGAGGATTTCTGATGAAAGTGCAGTAAATGTGATGCAATTCAATAATATGATGGATGACATTCCCTCTGAAATCAGTCCCGACTGAAAGCTGCCACCTTGACGTGATGGTCGGGCTTGAACACCGCAATGACCCAACAAGCTATACTGGCTGAGACTTATGTCTCTTGAGGTCCTACCATGCCAGGCAGGTTGTTTGGTTAACGGTTAGACAAAAAGCAGCTACCCAATCCAACACTGTGATTCAAACAAACTCACAAAATATCATGCGGGATCGGTCGGGGCCCGGATTAACAACAACCGCACTTCCTGCTGCCGTGTCACAGGGCAGAAGTGATAAATATGTTACTGAGACACACCAAACAATAAAGAACAAAGAAAAGCAGGTCGCGTGTGACCGGCCTCAGGCAGTTGTCCCCTGGGCTCTGCGGTCACGCAACCAACTTCCAAGGTGTAGGCAGCCGGGAAGTAACAATCGCCCTCACAATCCGAAATGCACACGAAACCTCTCTAACCCTCACTCATCTTTGTCTTCATCTTCATCTCTATCATCTTGCCTTCCTTCCACTGATGCAACTCCCCTACTTGATGGCTCTTCACTCTGTGTCCACTAGAAACGACGGAAGCCGAAAAACCACCACCGATAGCCTCCTAAAGCCACGCCACCAATTTCATATAGGAGCATTTAATGTCAGGACACTTTGCCAAATAGGACAACAAGCATCACTGGCTAAGACTCTGGCATCGCGAGCCATTGATGTATGCTGTGTTTCAGAAACATGCATACAAGACCCAAGTGTAGTTATTCACCTAACCCCACCTGGCCAACAGGTTGAATCTGCAAAATTCACCTTGAGGGTGTCAGGAGATGCCACAGCTAGTTCACGAGGATTAACTGGCGTATGGATAGCTCTGAGTACTAGGGCAGAAAAGACATTACTTGACTGGATCCCGGTAGATAGCCGAATGTGTGCTGTCCGTCTGAACGGATCAGTAAAATGGAGAAAGGACTGCACTACTCGCCGATGCCTTTTCGTAATCTCCGCCTACGCCCCCACTGACTGCAGTTCGGATGAAACGAAAGATGAGTTCTATCAAAAGCTGTCTGGCTTGCTGCGAAAGGCCGGACGCTCACATATAGTCGTTCTAGCTGATGACTTTAATACTCAAGTAGGGAAAGTGTGTCAGTCTGAGAAGGATGTTGGTGGCACCTATGGAGTTCCGTGCCAGCGAACCGACAACGGTGACCGTCTCCTACAGTTCTGTTCAGATAATCATTTGTTTCTTGTAAGCACTAACTTCAAACACAAGGAGAGACACTGTTTGACTTGGAGACCCCCTTCATCAAACCAACGCTGGACACAAATAGACCACATAGCAATAAGCTATCGTTGGCGTGGGTCGGTAGGAGATTGTCGCTCCTTCTGGAACACGTGTGTAGATACCGATCACGCACTGGTCCGGGCTCGTGTGTGCTTAAGACTGAATGGATATAAGAAATTGAAGGCAGCGAAACAGTTACGTCCCCAACTAGATCGAGACATTGAGTCCTTACTTAAGGAAGAAATTGCGAAACGAGTTTCTGAGGTCGACAGCACGACTTCCCCTGAGTGAGGTAGCCTGGCACAACATACAGTTAGCTGTAGACACACCTGTGAAAGCTGTTAATAAGCTAAAACCTAAAGTTAGTAAAAGCCAGTGGATCTCCACCGCCTCATCCGAACTGATTGACGCAAGAAGACAGATGCCAGCGAGCTCCGATTATGATGAGGAGCGAAAGGTACTCAAACGAAAACTAACAAAAAGTCTTCGCAAGGACTGTGAACAGTGGTGGGCGACAAAAGCGAAAGAGATGGAAAAGGCATCGGCGATCGGTAACACCAGACAACTATTTAGGCTTATCAGGGAAACAGGTGGTAAAATGCAAATGATGAGTGAAACAATCTCTGAGAAAAATGGCACCATAATTAGCTCCCAGAATAGACGACTGGAACGATGGAAAGAGCACTATGAGGAGCAGTTTAACTGGCCCACAGCCACGCTCATCCTGCCGAACATCCAAAACCTCACCGAATGGGATATAGACACAGGTCCTCCATCCCTAACTGAGGTTACTAAAGCTGTCACCAATCTGAAACTAGGCAAAGCAGCGGGACCTGATGGAATGACGCCAGAGGTATTTAAGTACGGTGGAGACAGCTTACTGTCCGGATTAACTGAGGTACTAGGCAGCGTCTGGGAATCAGAAGAAGTCCCATCGGGTTGGTGTAAGTCACTGATTATCCCCACATACAAGAAGGGAGACAAGTCTTCCTGTGATAATCACAGAGGGATTAGCTTGACTAATATAGTATCTAAAGTCCTAGGCTCAATAATCATGCGTAGACTGAGTGGTGCTCGGGAGGCACAAACACGGGACAACCAGGCAGGCTTTAGGCCAGGTAGAGGGTGTATTGATCATATCTTCAACCTCCGACAGATTCTAGAACATAGGAATTCCTACCGGCGTCCAACAGTCATTATATTTCTTGACCTAAAGGCGACATTCGACTCTGTCGACCACGAAGTTCTCTGGAGATGCTTGGCTGTAAAGGGAATTCCAAGAAAATACACTGCACTGATCAAGGCACTCTACTCGAACTCATGCAGCCAGGTGAGACCTTACGGTGAGTTGTCATCTGAGGTGGTAACAACTAGTGGTGTCCATCAGAGATGTCCACTATCCCCATTTCTATTCAACTTCATCATAGATGTACTAATGGACTTAACCCTAACTCACTTCACAAACTCAGGGATTGACTTCCTACCAGGGAGGGGAAAATCTGGTTAGTTAAATGTCAAGAGGCGAAATTATGTTTCCATTTCTACAGTTTCCTCGGTTTGACTGTTCTGATTTGTCCTCATGCATTACATTACAGGCATTCCGCGTAGTATCTTTCAACTACTGGTTTATGTTCTTAGATGAAAAGATTAGGAGTGGTTTAGGCTACATTCAATATAGCATCT